TTTTCAAACTGTGGTAGCTTGTTGCTGCTGAACGAGCCTGCAGCAAGAGTCAATATTGATTTACACTTAACAAATCTGTAACAGTATTACACCAGTTATAATAACCATAGCAGAATGTATAAAGGTCATTTTTAAATTGCAGAGGTGTCATATTCTCTACGTGTGTTAATCATTAGTCAGTTAAATTATGACACTAATTAACTAAAGCTGTTTATAAGTAGCCTAAAGTTGTAATAGTAGATGTGGAAAAAATACAATTTTACATAATTAAAACGAGCAATTACAACAAAGTCATTGTAAAGTCATTTTTAATTTGTCTACATTGCAAAGTTTATTATTTTATTGTCACATATATTATTGAATTGTGGTGTCAGTCAAAATGTAATTGGTTTAATCCTTATATGTATAGAGAAGTTAAACCATTTAGTGAATTAAGAATTAGAAGTGGCCTCTCCTTAAAAAAAAAAAGGTCATATAGTGAGAGTGATAGTCCTTTAAACCTGCATTATTCACACCAGCCAGCAGGGGGGCGGCTCTGATGTTTTGCAAAAGAAGTCACATTGAGTTGAAGTCCACCAGATATTGACCCAACTTCCTGCTTGGTTTATGACCTCAATTCAACTTTCCCCAGTGAGTTTATGGACTGGCTTGCTAGCTGATCGTCTCCTTTACAACACTGCTTTTATCGCTTTAGCTGCTTTATAATGCCTGTTTGTAAATGAGTCTTTGAAATCCATAATACAGGAAGAAAGAGGACAAAACACTGATTAAACACTGCATTAAGAACACAGACTTTAAAGTAAATATACAGCTTGAACTTTAATGTGCTGGGATCTTTAAACCTATACCAATGCTTTATATTTCATTTACTAGGTTTTTGAGTAAAACTATTAGACTCAAAAGTAATATTATGGTTGATGAATTACCTGGAGTAAAAAGTACAACATCTCTGAGAAATGTAGTGTAGTGTCATGGACAAGCTTTGAAGTACTTAGGTTAAGTACAGGTGCCTTAAACTTCAGGGACAACAGTCAAATCTATCGCTCATCAGAAATCTTTGCTGTGGGAAATGTTTAAATTAACTCCACTTATTTGCTCCTCCTCTGCAGGTTTGGTCCCAGACAGATCAGAGTGGAGTCTGCCCTGCTGAGAGCGTACAACAGCGGCACCAGGGCAGCGCCGTACGAGTCTCTCATGGTGGCTGACATCGGGGACGTCAATGTGAATGTTTACGACCTGAAGGACACCTGCAGACGCATCAGGGAGGCCTACAGGAAGATCCTGGCTACTGGATGTATTCCTCTGACCATGGGTAAAAAATCTTTTAGGCAGATAATCTTATATTATCATGATTATATCCAGCTGTGCAATGTTTATTATATGTAATAATTATCATTTAAATAGCACTTTGAACTGTAGCTTGACTGAAGTTCATGCACTAAGGAGTTTCTGATTTCTGCAGGCGGCGATCACACAATTGCATATCCGATCCTGCAGGCCGTGGCTGAGAAGTAAGAAGTCCATGTATCATTGACAGTTGCTGTGCATTTTGTATATGTTTGATAATTAAAGAGGCTCAGAGGCTTTCATTGACTGTACAAGGATAGATGTGACTTTAACCTGGTTTACTAAAGTGATAATCATTTGAACAAAAGGACAACAAGTTGCATTTTTTCATTTTTAGAATAACTTAACAATCATTTAGTTGAATTAGAAAGAACTTCAGTTTGTGTAGTTAGTTTAAAAAAAAGGCAAATCATGCAAATTCTAAAAGGTCAAAAAGAGATCTGCAGATTTTCTTTCTTTTTTTTTTTTTTTTTGACAAACAGTCTGAAACCCCAAATGTAAAAAAAAAAAGCGGAAATTCTGCACAAATAATCAAATGGAGCCAACAAGTTTGTGGCATTTTTTGTGATAAGCAAGTGGCACGATTCATCAGTTTCAAATTCGACATTTAGTTTTCTTTGGTTGATAGATTTTCAGAAGGACAGCAAGAATTTCAGACCTTGAAGGGGTATTGTTATATAGTTTTAGTTTAGTTTATTAATGAAGTTTAACATGCCATTCAGCAAAGGGTCTCCAGCCCACAATGGGATTACAAGACGCTGACAAACATAACAAACAAGAGCATGAATCTAAACTCTGTGTCACTGAAAATAACTTGACTGTGTTTTATTTTGAGCGAACAACGGCTACCCTGTTGACCATTTATAGATACATGTTATTATGTTTTTGCTGCATGATTATCTCTCAGGTTTTTTCATGACTGTGTGTTATTTGCAGACGTCTGTCAACCCTAAACAATTCAACAAACCCTTTAAGCTTAGACCAAAATTCAAATATCTGAGAGAGAAAAATAACTACATCTGTTGACAATTTCCTCGTCCCTTTTCTCGTGCTTCAGTCAGTGTGTTCTGTCATGATTTGTCAGGCACGGCCCAGTGGGTCTGATCCATGTGGACGCTCATGCGGACACCAGTGATGTGGTCTTGGGGGAGAAGATTGGACACGGGACTCCATTCAGACGTTGTGTGGAGGAGGGACTGCTGGACTGTAAGAGAGTGGTCCAGATCGGCCTGCGGGGGTCAGGCTACTCTCCTGATTCATACGAATGGAGCCGAGCACAGGTTCCTCTACTTCAATATTTGATATGACGTTATTTACATAAGGAAGAAACTCAGGATGAATGCTGTTCTTTATTTCATTATGTTTGTCTACAGTTTGTTGTCTACAGTTGTCTACAGTGACTATGCCACAGAGAATATCCAGTTCTCATGTAAAGTACTTAGAGAAACCTAATTTTTCCCCTCACAGGTTCTGACTGGAGATTAGATATAAAAAGATGAACGCAGGGCTGCAACATCTAAATGTTTAGAAAAAAAAGTGGAGGAAAACTTAAAACCAAAAAACATTGGGATAAATGATCCAGGTCCAGGCACTCAGGATGCTTTGAAATTTACAGAAGGCCTTTAATTCATCGGGCTAGAAACATTTAAAATACAAAAAAATTGAGGGTGTAGTGACCATATTCTGTTTAAAACTATTATTTATAGTTTCTGGTAGTGACACACTGAAGCAAAGAGAGCTATTATTGCCGCAGTCACCACAGGTGTGCAATATTTCTTCTGGCCTCGAGGGGCAAAACTTAATCAATACATCAGATACATCCTGAGTTCCTGGACCTGAATCATTTATATCATATTCCCCTCCATGAGCACCTTTGGTTTGATGGATACCAGAGCCTCTCCTGTTGTCACACTTTTTGTCACATATAAATGTTTCGATTGTTGAATAATCTGTTATTTATTCACTGAAATTATAAATAACTGTGAAGTCAATGAAGGCTTCTTACAATGCCTTGCTTTACCTTATAACAGTCATGAACCAATGACATTATATCGACCAAAATTGGTCAAAAAAACATTTTAGAATCTGGAACCAGCACATTTTGTGGATTTGTTTTTTTTTTGTGTGTGTGTGTGTTCAGGGTTTCCGTGTGGTACAAGTGGAGGAGTGCTGGTTCAAATCTCTGGCTCCTCTGATGGCTGAGGTCAGGGCTCAGATGGGCAGCGGTCCAGTTTATCTCAGTTTTGACATCGACGCTCTTGACCCTGGATTTGCCCCGGGAACTGGCACACCGGAGATAGCAGGCCTCACTCCCATACAGGTAAACAGTGAAGCAGACTTTAACCCTTCGAGCCTCTAAGCATATAAAAGGACAACACCAGCTTATATTTTATATATCATGTAAAGAATGAAAAACAACTTCTGGTTCTCATATGAACAACAGAGTTTTTTGTATTTCTTTTCTATGTAACAATTCTGATGCATCTTCTTTCTTTGATTGGTTTTAGGGGGTTGAGATAATTCGAGGCTGCCGAGGTATAAACCTTGTTGGATGTGATCTCGTGGAGGTGTCTCCACCCTATGACACCACAGGTACTCCACACTTTATTTCAGTCACACTTCTTTATTTTCTCAATACAGTCGTTGTTTTAATGTACATGTTTTCTGCTTGACAGGGAACACTGCACTGACTGGCGCCAATCTCCTTTTCGAGATGCTGTGCGTCCTCCCAAAGATAAAATATTACTGATCGGACCAAACTGAACTGAACTGGAAGCTTTTTAACAACGTAAGCAAAGAAATCCACGCCCAGCTGAGAAGGCCGTCCTCCAGAATACACAAATGTTTACAACCATCATAGGATAAATCCACTATTAAAGACCAATTCAAACAATACAGCTGTTGCTGATTATATGTTATATTTCTTAAAATTACATCTATCGTCATGGTCTGTGGTTAAAAAAATAAATGAATAAACTATTCACAAGTTTTACTTTTTCTCTTACGTGTTATGATTGTTTTTAGAGGGAACTCAATGCACACAAATAAACAAAATGTCTCCAACCTTTTTATTTGTAAATAATAGTATCCGATATCTGTGGAGGATCAGAATTACAGTAAGTCAGAAACATTTGACTTCCAAAAGTTTACATCAAATTGTTTTAATTCTTCATTTTTATTATATCTGTCATATCAAGGTGTTACAAATAGGCACTTTTTTTTTTTCACGATAAATGGGTTTCTTTAATATCAGTCAGATTTATAGCCTACATACAAATCCTGCTAATATGTCACCACTCAGTTTGGTTTAAAAAAAAACACTTTAACCAAATATATTCTGTTTTTAACTAATTAAATAATTAACTGACTGTTTCTTGTACCTGCTTTAATCTACACTGTTATAGTGAGCTACCTGTCTGACAGCGGTGAAGCGCAAATGAATCAAACGTACCATAACTTCTCCCTCCACGTGCGCTGTTACCTGGACCAATCACCGCAAGCGAAAATGTAAACAAGGAAACAGCTGATTCAGCCTCGCGCGCGTTGGAGAAAATGAAAAACAAACTTTTATTATGATTAGCAAATAAAGAAAGAATAATTTATCTCACCAACTGTGCTGAATTAAGGACGACATGGTAAGTTAATTAATTAGCTCATTTTAAAGTCAGTTATTAAACGTTTTAATCTGCTTTAGTTGCCCTCTTCAAAAAGAGATATATTTAATTGCATTTTATTGATCTTTAGCCACTATGTAGCCCATCTTAACAGTTTGATACTATTTGAATTGCTTTGTCTTTGGAGGTAGCCTTTCTTTAGGCTACTGTCTATCTTTATCCCCCAATATCTTAAATAATAATGTAAAATATAAAAACTAGCCTTTAAGTATATTCCATGTCTAGCAGTCCTCAAAATGAAACCAACCCATGAATAAGTGGATTCCAGTCTCATTAACCAATTTTAAATAACTCATGAAAGTTTTTGTGGCCTACTCCAAGGGTGAGAAACCTTTATTTAAACAATTTACAAATTCTGACACACAATGCCCTTCACCACAAAGTCACTTTATTCAGTTTTGTTCACGTTTCTTTAATATTCTGTCCAGTGTGGAAAGGGAATAGAAACATTTTCTCTGGTAATACAAACAGTGAAAAGTCTTGAGTGAACGACGTATGCATTTTATTAGCATTTTAGATTTAGTGTTGATACTTATTTAACATTTTGACAAATTGATCTTTTTGTTAAAGCTCTGGTGACCAAAGACTCGAGGCTGTAACACAACTGGAGAATATTTAGGTAAGCACAATTATTTTAATTTCTTTTTTTTTTTATAAACAAACAACGAACAGAAATACAAATATTGTTGTAAAAGACCAGATCTGTATTGCAGCACAATGAATACATCTTTTTCTCAACATGACTTCTGTGTTTATAGCTTCATCTCATTGTACTGCAAAAAATAAAGTCTATTTATGTCCTCAAAGACTGCAGTGAAACAAACCGTACATAATAAACACATTTTGTATAACTTACTTTACAAGGAGCATTTCAAAGTCCATGCCATCATATTTATTTATAATGAATCAGGCTGCAAATAAATAAATAAATAGGGTATTTATTGGGCATTAAAGGTGAAAACTGTGAAGCTGCACTCTGCTAAGTGAAGCATCGAGTGTTCTCAGCTTGACTAATGTGAGGGACTCAAAGTGATCTCGCTCACATGGGGAACATTTGTTTAAGACATTTGCATTCGTCCTTGAATGGAAACAGGCGTGTTCTGTGATGTCAGCTGATGAGGTTATGCTATCCATTTTTTATTTAAGGCTTCAGTTTATCCTATCTTTTAACTGCAATGATAAAGCTATTTTGGTCTTGGGATGTAATACTCTTTTTCTCCAGTAGAGGGCACTTAATGCTCAAATAAATTGTTTATAACAAGTGAGGTTTCTTTTTTTTGGTGTGTCACCACAGTTATTTTTAAAAACCTAAATAAGGGTCTCAGACTCTCAGTGACGGGAGCTTTCCATGAAAATAAGAAGGTTCTAAGTGTATTTGGTAAAGGCACTAAACCCCCAACCACGCTGGTGTGCTCCCTGTGCAGCAGCCTCACTCTGACATCTCTCCACTAATGCATGTCCACAGATCCTGTTTGTGCATGTGTGTGAGAACCTTGAGAACAGAATTTCCCCTCAGGGATTAATAAAGTAAGATATCTATGCAGCAATATCTATTAAAGGCCCTCAGGCCTTTAATAGATATGTGTCTTGAGGGCATTAAAAGTGAATCACTGATATGGAGCAGGTTTATAGCTCAGTGATAACAAACAGATATGAGGTCTGGTCTTCCTTCTAAAACCCTGCAGTATTGATTCAGAACATTCTGTACCCATTTCTTCTAAAAGTGTACAAGTAGATATTTAACACCAATTTGATAAGGTTTCAGTTTTAATGTGCATAAAGGCTGCATGTGTTCCATCCTAAGACGAGCAATGAGATCCTCTCTTTCTCAAGCTCTATCTCTTTCTCAAGTTCAGATCCAGATGAGTCATGAGACCTAATAGACTTATATTTGTATTTACAGGATGCATTAAAGTAACATTCCCCTGATGCTCCAGATGTTGCTGACAAACAGCACGTTGCAATTCAGCATGTTAAAATCTAAAACTTATACTCATTGTCCTTCATCCAGGCTTTGGATTGGTGAGTTTACAGCTCAATAAAACATAACAGTGCCTGTTTAAAAGCCTGGTCCCTCTTACAAGAGTTTAAAAATTATATGTGCAACTAAAGGAGCTTTAATGGGAACATGTGTTTTAAAATAAGTTTGTCCTTGAATTGAACGAGACGTATGTTCCCAGCTGTCTCCTCGTGAGGTTAACCTATATGCTGGAGGATCTCGGAGCCATGCGGCTCACCCTGGCTGACATTTTGCTGTCCTGTAGAACACTTATTTTGGTGTATTTAAATACTGTATGCATATTTTGAATTAGTGCATCTGTGTTAGATTTGGTTAATGACAGCACAGTCTTCAGGCTGAAGTCACAGCTGTAGATGTTCTTAGCTTGATGAGCTTTTATTTGTAATGCCTCTTTGATTTTGTGACAAACACAGGCTGCGTCTCTTGTAGCGACAGTCAGTCTCCTTTAGAGTCAACACACATGACTCTATCCTTTGGGTAATGACTTGATGACATGTTGACAATAAGGAGATTCTCTTATTATACCAACAAAATACCTGAAGACATTTGAATTTCTCTTGGTCACTCGGTCCTTTCTGTTTTACTCACCAGGTTATAGTCTGAGCTCATCCTCTGGTAAGAAAGTCTCTTAAAATGCTACAAAAGGCCTCTCACAGACATCGCCTGGTTCCTGTGACTCCCTTTGCAGACGTAAGCTGAATTTTCACAACAGGAACTTCCTCTGAGACGAAGACCCATTCAAGGAACTCAATGTGTGTTTTTGCTGCAGGGTCCACAGTTGAATACAATTCTGAGGACATTCTTTTTTTAAGCCTTTAACTCACAGATTGATGGGTGGATTGATGACGTACAAAGGAACAACATTGTCTGGCGCTATATTACAGTTTTTGCATCAGTGCTACCTGTAGTTAGGCGTATTCACAGTTTTTTACGAATGAGTGGTAAAGCAGATACTTGCAAGCTGAAAATAAAAGAATGCAGCTTCACGACGTTTCTAGTCGCTCACTGATCACTTGATGGAAAAATCCTCACCTCCCCCTGGTCGCACGCATTTAATTTTTCCTGGTTTTGACCTTCTGCATTCAAACATTGGCTCACCCCAACTTCACGTGGAAATTTGACAATAGGGCTAGCAGGATGAATCCAGGGTGGAAAGAATCAGTTGTTCGCATTCACACATGCAGCTAGTCCTGACAATTTCAGGAAATTTCAAGAGTTTTGTGCATGTGTGAATGAACACACCACATGTGTCATCTGTTATTTTATTTTATTTATTTTACCTTTATTTTACCAGGCAGAATTGCTTGAGATCAAATGACCTCTTTTTTGAGCAAGGCCTGGCCAAAATGGCAGCAGCAAAAAAGAAATACAAGACAAATCCAAAAAGAAAGAAAGCACAGACATGAGAAAAAGAGACAAATACAGTCCAGAAGGTGAAGAAGAAGATTGAGGAGGAGGAGGAGGAGGAGGACAAGATCATGTTAAACAAAAACAAAACACAACACCACAATACACACTAAAAGAACAACTATGTGATGACGATAAAATACTATGCAGTGAAACATTTACACACTCCAAAATTAGCCATTAAAAAACTTCACGTCATAATGGATAGATGATAGAACTGTAAAAACCTCATGTTAGTCTTTGTGTCTGACAGAGTAAGTTCCAAATTTAAATGAGTAAATAATAATAAAAATGTTTCCAAAAGTCTCCATTGAAAGCTTCTCACTCCCCTTTTTAGGAAAACACATGTTTGTGGAAGTCATTTGTTGAAATAAGTGTGACAGGATGAGGACAACTCATTGTGTATCACAGTTAAAGGTCGTTGACCCTCACTGAAGAGCGGAAACGGATCATTTTATTTGGCTGATCTGTCGTCCATTGTCACAGCTGTTCCCTACAGCTGCACAGTCCAGCTCCAGTTGGCCTAACACACCGTGCTACGATACATGTAATAGACAGTGCCGGCCGGTGCTGGAGTGAGTCGTCTGACATCTTCAACACCATACCTCATATCTGAATCTAATCATGCAAACACAGCAACAATCACCACGAGTGGGAGTGATCAGATTTGAATCAAAGGTTGCTGCTGAACTTAAAGTTATAAATGACTGTCCGTGTCCCCGCTGGATAAAGTTTTCTCTCAGAATGGACATGATTCTGTGAGGAAGCTAGTTGAAAAGGACTACACTCTACACTAAGCACCAATAGGTGGTGTTCATGAGTCACAGAGCGGAGGATGCAGAAGAATCCTCTGCATTTTGTTGAAGAGCACTTTGGTTTCAGGACCTATAATAAAGTTTGACCTGAACATGTCGGACACAAAATTTCCAGTTCTTTTCTGCTGACAGGATGCGAGGGAGGAGTCCTCAAATCACACCACTGCGGTCTGTGAGATGCTTCCAGTGTGTATTCACGGTCAAAGAGCAGAAATGATCTCTCTGTGGTATTCGAGAGGAGTGATTCAGTCTCAGCCTCTCCCTTTGTGTTCATGTGTTTATTTGAAGAAGGCTGGCTCTAAAAGGTGAAAATATTACAAAATGAAAATATTAAGAAGACAAAATCTTTATGAATACAACAAGGATTTACATCAGTTGTGTTCCTTATTAAGCCATGATTTAACAAATCTATTACATATTGTCCAATCAGGGTCTTGCACATCACAATGTGCCTTAACGATTAAAAAGAAAAAGGTCAAAGGGGAAATAAAAAATCATAATGCAGTGGTTGATTATTCGACATCCTACAGTTGTCGTTCTCAAAAATGAACGAGAGCTATTGGTAGCTAACTGCAGTTTTTCTCCATCTCCCTTTCATCGGTCATCTAAAAATCTCCCTGAGAATGATGTTCCACAGGTGGAAAAACATCCTGATTATTACTTGCTGCATTGAAACACTGACTCACTCCAACGTCGCATGAAAATGTTGCTCTAGGGCTAGTAGGAAGAATTTGGGGTAAAGGCAGGATGGGAAAAATCAGCTGTTTGCATTCACACATGCAGATTGATAATGTTTAGCAACTGTAAACACCTCATGTTAGTCTTTGCTTTGTGTCTGACACAATAAGTTCCAAATTGAAATGAACAATCTCCCTGAGATTGAAGTTGCATCCCTTGCAATGGTTTCTCCTCTCAGGTGGAAAACCACTGCAGGGTTTATGTCTCATCCATAAACAGTCTTCCTCCGTCATGTATCCTTCATGTTGTTATCCATCCTCATGGTTTTGATTATTGATACTACACTTTGATCTTTACAAAGTAATCCTTTAGCAGCTGATTTTATTCCCTTGATGGTATGTATTATAAATATTGTACTACATTTTTTATATAACGAATTGTTTAAAAGCAAATTATGTCATAGTATGCATCTTAAAGCTCCTGTGGGGAATTTTCATTGTGTGTTGATTTTGGCGCCCCCCTGTGGACAAAGCATTACCTCACATCTAGTTGCTTGTCATGCCCATGCATATACAGTGTTCTCTGATTTAAAATAAAATCTTATCCTGCTTCTCTTAAAAATTAAAATGTTTCCCTCACTGTGAATCCTATCCATGAAAAATTGTAAACAAAAGTTGTGTCTGCAGCGTGCTGTCAATCACCTCGTCTGACTCCTACAGTACCCAGTATTTTTTTAAGGTTCATTTATGGGCTTTTGATGTCTTTATTGTAGAGATGGGAAAGTGGATAGAGTCAGAAATCAGAAGACAGAGATAAAGTGGGGAATGACATGCAGGAAAGGAGCCAGAAGTCACATTCGAACCTGGGCCACCTACTTGAAGGACTCCAGCCTCTGGTCATTTGGCGCGCACTAACCACTGGCTACCAACAGTATTTTATTCCAGTCTTTTCCATCACCAGCAAAAAATGTTCTCAAAGGAGCTTTAAATAGGGGAGAGAATAAAAAAAACTTAAACACACGGTGTGGAGAAAGAACACTTCTGGGGTGCCGTTTTTGGAAAACACATTTGCATATTTTAATGATGAACAAGTAGTGGATGTATTCAAAATATTTTTTTACTTAGTTCTTGAACCTCTCATGTCCGACAAACATTGCTGTGTAATCTAATTACTTTGTAAGAATGCAAATCTCACAGTACATTCACAACATACCAACCAGCATGATAAGCCCGTTCTGTTCATCTCTCCTTTTAGCCTAGTTTGGAGAACACATGAGAACAGCTCCTCTCTATTTTTATTCAGGGTTCAGCTTTTAATTGGAAACAGCTGTTCTCACAAATCTCTGTGTTACAGTATGCTGTTATCACTGCTTACATGAATGGACAAACACACAGTGCTGCTCACAGATGCTCATTATCAGTATTTTAAAAACATTTCACTGTTTGGTTTATCCTTATGGCATGTGGGGATCGTAAGGCAACACGGGGACTTCTACTGTGTTTCCTATATTCCTCATTTTGGTTCTTGTTGTAATGCATGTTATATCTCCAGGAGAGGGCGCTTAATGCTAAAGTATGCAACATTTAGCCACTCAGATCCCTTTTAGTTAAGTTTCAAACAGCAGTTCTATTTTCTACCAAAACAACCTTAGTGTTTCAATGTCCAGGAGTTTTAATACTACTTTTATTTGACATTTATTAAGTAGGTATTATTTATTAATAAGTGTAGAGTGCAGCTGAACTACATCTCAGTAATACCAGTTATGACTTTGAAAAGATGTGACCTGAGGGCATGGAAAGGAAACCAAAGACATGGGTGGGTGAAAATGAAAACGACAACGTCCAGTCGTCTTTGTTTAACTTTTTATTTTTTTTAAATAAAAGGTAATGTCACTGTTTTGTTCATGTACTGTATATATATGTCAGAAAAATGGGGCCATCTTACAACCCATTATAACCCTCTATAATAAAGTCCCTGCAGAAGAAGGATTATTATATTACTATTATAGGCTGTTATAGGAAATGCAGAAAATGTCTTCTCTTTAATTTGACTGTTCATATCATACCTAATATTCAAATGTTATTTAATATGATCAATACAATGATTTTTCTCAAGAAAACACAGCATACACCCGCACACATATATGCCTACACATTTAAAACAAAAGACACAAAAAAAAAAACACATTTCACATGATTATTATTTTTATGTTTGAATTTACTTCTGGAACATATTTTTATATTTATGCATCTTATACGAAAATACACTGAACAACATTTTCTTCCCTGTGTGTTTGAATTCAAGTGAACTGAATATAGGGAACATTACAGAGAAAAATATCGTCTTCTCATTTATCCTACATCATTTTTTAGAATCATAGATAGCTTTCCAATTTGCATATATTCCTAAATCATATGCATCAAAATGAATGAATAATGAAAAGTACTATAAGGCTGCTAATTCGTGTGTATTTTTTACTCTTAATTCACTAATTAACTCTTAATTAATATATGAATGCAGGATTTGTACTTCCTGCTGAGTCTTTCTTCTTTAAGTGTGCGACACAGCTACTGTTACTTAATTCAAACTTCCTAGAAGGCGACTTCATTTCGTTTGGAAACTCTTTAAGTCGTAGCCCACCACAGGCGGACTTTGTGTCCTTACGTGGATTCTGTAAAGCACCACGAAAGCATAAGTTTCTCCGGTCTCGACGCACGTGAGCAGTGCGTGGTCGTGTAACGCGGGTCTACGAGGTGGCGTCTCCCCCGCACAGGGATTATCTGTCTTCTCTTTCAGCACTCCCTGAATTCCATTCCGCCTTTTACTTTAACTGCAGCTCTCTCTCTCTCTCTCTCTCTCTCTCTCTCTCTCTCTCTCTCTCTCTCTCTCCCCCTGCTCTGTCCCAGCTCAGGACTTCCCAGTGACTTTGCAAGACTGCACTTAGCACACAACAAGTCCCAACTTTCCGATTGCACGAGCGAGGAGGCAAAAGTGTGGAGTCTCTTTCAAAAAAAAAAACAAAACAAAACAAACAAACAAACAAACAAGCGCGTAAAAATAGGATCCTTTTTTTTAAACCTGTTGATGAAGTCCCACCGGGAGTGGGGCGCAGAGGAGCAGCAGTCCGGGTTTCTTCACAGAGAAAGAAAAAGTCTGAAAAAAGGTGCACCACTCCACTGAAGGACCTCGGGGTTTTTTTTTTTTTTCTTCCTTTCTCCCCAGCAGTCTGCAGCCTGTGCTGGGTTGGTGGAAAATGGGCACTCCGACCACTTCGATCTGTGGACTTATCTTCTGTTTGATACTCACATGCCAGCTTGTTACTGTAAGTGAGCTCAACTTCACTCTTTCTTTTCACTTCTTTTCACCCTCCACTGTGGATTGTTTGTTTCATTCACACACAAAACTCTCCTATGAAGCTGTTCAAACTCTCAGGGGTCAAGTCAAAGTAACAAATCAGTGCTTTCTATGTCCTATTAAAGGCAGAAAAAAAAAGTGAGGCATGTGTTGATGGTTGCTATTTATGTTCAGTAAATAGTGTGGTGTGTCTGTGCAGGGCTGCTTGCATGCATGTGGGCTGTTTGAAATGATTCTCAGCTCACTCTGTCACATCAGCATGTACCGTTTAGATGCTTTTAAAAGTAATGTGACAAAACTAGATGCTGCTGTTGAGTGAAGCTGGGCTAAGTTTGTCCACAGATACAAGCTATTCATAGTCTCTCTGGAGTCCTCAACTCCTAAAACCTGCTCAAACTCAGTCAGGCTGCACTTTGCATTGCCTACACTGATAACCCATGGACTTGATTTTATGTGTGATCTTGTGAGTGTATAATGTATAGAAAAGTGGCTTTCATATGAGAATTTCTCGTTGGTGTCCTGGAACATTTGGACTGACTTCTCTTTGTTTTGAAAATCTGTTAATGTGCAAAAAAAGGCTTTATGAGTACTTTAGAAGAAAAGAAAGAAATAGTGCGCTTGTCCCTTAAGAAAGGGACACCGCACCTAAATGCATTTTTTTCTAAATGTATGTTATAATATGTTCTGTAGAACTACTGATTGGTTTTGAAACTTTGACTTGAATGCGCAAGACACGTTTTTGTATCCAAGGTTAGGTCTTCAAATTGCCAATGTTGTCCAAACAGTTGGAAAATATCACAATTATATAAAATAAAGAGAAAAGCTGCAAATCTTCACACTTCAGAAGTTGTAAAATGTTTGGCATTTTACATTATAAATGATTGTAATGAACTATCTTTCTGTTGGTGAAACGAAGGCTCTAATAGTGCACTGCTGGTGTTTTTTCCAGCATAATAAAAGATATATCAGTCCTATATACTTTTACCCGGCTGTATCGGAGGTGTGAATCATATAGAGGATGAGCATCGTCTTGCTGCTGAGAATAGATGCCCCCCCTCCACCCACCCACCGCCCTTCTCCACCCTCTCAAAATCCCGTCTGCTCTCTCACCTTTGTGCCCTCGAATAAACAGAGCTGTCACGGCTGAGATATCTGTGACTCCTCTGTGTTGATTTGATCTGAAGAGGAGCCTTTTTTTATTATTTATTTTTTTTGAACGATGGGACATCACTGCGGCGTCCAGCAGACATAAATCTTACACCTGCCGGATAGAAGAGGATATGAGCTGTGATATTCCAGACGTTTGAAAAGCTTTATGCTGATGACTCCAAGGTATATTTAACATCCTGCTGTGGCATGCATGCGATGGAGTGCCAAGCCTTCTTCTGTGGATGAAAATGATCTATAACTTTGTGTCGGATCACAAAGTTTGGAGAAACAGTTCATGTAGTCCGGTTTCTTTGTCAATTTAGTTGTGGCAGGTGGCTCTTTAAAAGGAAATCTAGTACAAAAAACATCTATTTTACAAGACAGGGGCATAGGAGAGGAATGAAGACATCCCAAATAGCAGGCAAAATCCTGCACACTGTCTAAATCGCATACAAAACTTAGACAGTCTGCAGAAGTTCACCTGCAATTTTGATAACTGAAATCAAGAAAATAACCAACATTGGGTGCTATATGAATTCTATTTCTGATGTTTAAAATTCTGGTGTCATGACAACCCTAGTTTGCTCATAATGGAGACCTGCTTCCTTAAATTAAGTTTTGTGAGATATCTGTTGTCGCGATTTGGTGCCATATGAAAAAAAAAAAAAAAAAAGGTTGGTTGATTGATCAGTTGCACCCACAAAGACAACACTAGTTCTTTATCTTCGTTATCATCGATCCACCAAAATCCATTCTGGTCCCCGGAGAGCTACCATCCCCTGACACTGCAGGTTAAAAGCAGACGTCCTACACACTTTAACCCCCGTGTGATTGACTACCAAGCCAACAATAATATCGTAATGAAATTATCTGGAACCACAAGCATCTGTTTCTCGCATTACTCAACTTTGAACTACAGCAGGCCGACTGTCTCTCTTGATTCAATTACGCACACGTTCTGGTGTTACTGTGGGCCCTCCTTTCACCCCCGCTGGAATGTCAGGGTCATGCGCATCAACTCAAACAATCAAAGTCAATAAAAACTCTCAGTGGGTAAGAGGTCTCAATAACAAATGAAGCCCCCGTAGCCTGCTGTGAACCACCAGCATGTACAAGTCTGAGAAACGATTCAAGCCATTTTTCTTACGGCATAATGTTCCATAAAACCTGTTTTGATTTACACCTGAAGATGGATTGACCTGGTCTTACTTAATCATAAATAATTGAGTGAGGCCACTTTGTTTTCTTGATGTATGACATCAGACCTCCGCTGATAATTTTGGCACAGAGATCTCTCCCAGTATAGACTGTCATAAGTGTCTCTTGACTTCATCTGGGGGTCGTTGTGGTTTGGGGGGAAGGGCGCCCTGGATTCCTATGACTCTATAGACGGAAGAGTGTGTGTCATCGGCGTAAAGATCTGTCTTTCTCTCCTATGTGTGTAACTCAATTCTTTCAATTGCTGCTAAATATTTCTGCAGCAATTCACTCTGATGATGTTTTGAGTCTCTGCTGGGTAATGTGTCGGCTCTGCTAGGTGGTTGGTCTCTGTGTGTGACGACCCGACTACCTGGTGTTTCATTCCCATTCACACTAAACGAGCGCTGACTCTATGGAGTTGCAAAGCACAGCAGTGCAAACACCGGCTCCACTCCACACTTTGAACAGTAGATCAGGTCCGCCCCCCCCCCTTCCAGACCTATTCACATAATTGCCCGAAGACTGGCTCTGGTAAACATTGCATTGTTGAATCATAGCCCCAGGGGAGAGGCCATCCTGGCTGAAGGGACAATGCTGCACAGAAGTGGCTCGCCCCCCTCCTCAAGCACATTGGCACATATGGAGCGCAGGCCGGCGGGCTGGCATTTGTTGACTCTGCAGCGAGGTGTGACTCAGGCCGGTATAGGGGTCAGCGGGGTGAACCTGACTCTGTTTCTCAAGTCAGCAGGGGTTCCTTGTGATTTATTCCCAGCCAACTTTAGCTCCTGCTGCAAAGTGTTCTAAACTTTTCACTTTAAATTTGTGTGTGTAGTCGCGTTTACTGCTCTGTTTTCAGTAATCTCTCTACTTGACGTCGTGTGAAACACTTTGCATGACTTTTGTGCAATACAGGCGATTCAAAACGTTGGTAAAAAGCTGTGATGTGCTAAATGAATAAAAACAAGCATTTGTTCAGCATTTTCTTACTCCTTTCCGTGGGTATTTCTCTACTGCTGCAATAGCTCCATTAGGTACAGATGCTGAAAATATTATTTTCAAGTTTATACTTCTTGGCCCCCCAACAGAGAAGTGAGCCTATGCTCTGTTTGATGAAACATTTAACTCAGTTTGTATGAAAGAGGCACACCCCATATGCTTAACTCAAAGAGACTACGCCTGGTATAAATCCTTAATGATGATGTGGTGTTTGAGATTGTTTCTCACACTTGGCAGCCTTTTGTTTCTGTTCATCTTATGAATTAAACAACTGTCAGCAGAGCGACATGTAGACATGTTTATTCCGTCCACTGCAAAAGTAACTGTGCCACATTAATACAGTGTTGGCTTTTCACATTGATTTGCATTTAATTCACATTTCACCAACAAAACCTGAGACTTGGAAGAATGCTTTGGAAATTGGGCAGCAGAAATATGTATTCATCAATTTCTTTGCAACTAGCTTGAATATGCAAAAAGAAAAATCGCTGGGGCCCTTTAAATGTCTTATCTTATCTTTTTCAATTTCTGATCCATCTCCTAGTTTGCAGCTCATGCCAGCCTTGTAGTGTGGTGTTATTAGAATGTATCCAATGCAGGGACTTTTTTGAAGGAACCATATTTTCAGAGATCAGAGTGATGCATGTTCTGTGATGCAAAGCAAGAATTTAGATTGCAGAGATGCATCAAAGCCTAAAGATGAATAAAATATATCTCTGTTTTTTTTCTTTCTCTCACACCAACTTGCACAAACATATGTCTTCTCAGAATACAGTGTGATGCTCTGTGGCTGCTGCTGCTGCTGCAGGAGCGTTGCCCTTTCATGCCCGACTTTGCGTCCGTGTCGGACAGAAGAGCCGACTCCAAACACAGCTGGTACAGCAGCAGCAGCGCCTTGCATGTGCTGACATGAGCTCACATACTCCTGAGTACCGCTTTTTGTAACTAGAGTCCCACACTTTCCATTCACACCTCCTCACACGTTGATACTTCTCTTTTTGAAGCATGTAGCTGCAAACGGCTTTTGTTTCAAATAGTTTTACAGACTTTTGTTTTATCCTCCTCGGATTCATCTGAAGCTTCTATGAATACGTCCAATTTAATTGATCTCTTTTTGATGTTTTTTTAAGTTTTTAACCATCAAACTTTTTCGATTAATTCCGCTGCTTTATAATTTCTTCTTTGATAACCTATCAAATGAAGCAGACCTGCAAAAATGAACTATAAAATAATGCTTTCACTCTTTTCTCTTTGACCATTCTTGTTTAAAAATGACTGTGTGATCATTGAAGTGTGGAAGCTGTGCAGCCTCGTGATCAAAGTGACCATCCTTTAACCAAACCATAACTCACATCCTGCAAGATGCTACATGAATACTAATTTCTACATTTTCCCTCTACTAGAGGGAACCAATTTAATCCGACAGCAGTGCAGCACCATGTATTGAAGGGAAGTCCTTGCATAAATAATTAAATTAGAAAGCTGATCCCCTTTTGTTGTGCGATATGTAATTGTTCATATTTAGAGGTATTGATAACCGACTAAACAAATGCCCTTTGGTCTCTATCTCTAAAGTGAAGCATAGATCACTTTTTGTGCAATAAAGCCAACATGAGTTCATGG